ATTGACAAATAATCATCTTAAATTATTTTTAATATAAAAAAATTTAAATCCTTTTTTAGAAATATTTTCTGAAATGAATGGAAATCTTTTACATGAATTATATAGAATGTGTTTATCAAATAGAGAATCAATGTTTCATACATTGAAAAAAGAAATTTCAATATTAAATTCAATTAATGAACCATTAACACTTGCTATTTATCTTCGTTTTCTTAATGAAGTTCAAAAATATATTCCATCATTTGTTATTGGTGAAAAATAATAAGAAAAGAAAAAAAAATTTTTTCAATCTTTGTAAACGAAAGTAAAGAATAAAAGAAAAATTAATTGAAAGATTTTCATTTTTTTTTCTTAATATTAGAATTTGTTTTATCTTGAAAATAAGAACTTGTTGTTGTTGTTGTTGTTGTTGTTGTTGCTTCTCGTTTTCGTTTGAGACCACCACTTATTAAATCTTCTCGTTTTTCTTCATCTAATTTTGATCCAAATAGACAAGTTATTGATAAAAGTCTATCTAATTTATACATATCATATTTTATTGTTGTCATTTCAACTGTTTTTCTTAACATTTCTTGTTTAGTTCTTGGCATTGTTAATGCCATTTGTTTTAAAGCTGTTTCACTTAATATTGTTGAATATTTTATATTATATTCTGATGATATTAGTTTAAGTTCATCTTTTAATTTTATAAGACATGCATCAACAAGACGATTATGTATAGAATTATTTGATATTGTTGATGAAACATCTGGATTTTCTTTTTTAAGACAAACTGATAAAGTTATTGGACTAGGAAATGTATTTATTTTTCCAACACGTATATAAGCTGTTGCTGTACCGTATGTATCGTTTATCGATATATCTTGATGAAGATAACCATCAAGTATTAATTTTGATAATAGACGTTCTAAATCTAAAATTAAACATTTTTATTATAAGATTAAAAGACGCTCTAAATTAACACAATCATGTTTGATCAATGATATTAATAGTTAATAAAACTCACAGTTGAAAAATTTTTTTTCTTATGAATCTATTCAATATTGCTCTTCAATAATAAAACCTATATTGATGATAGTCTCCTACGAATTTTATGTCGCTGTCGGAAGAAAAGATAATCATGCAAAAAAAAAATTTGCAAGAGAAGGTAAATTACTTTCTAAACATCTATCCTTAAATCTAACATTGTGCAAATTCTAGAAGTCTGTTAATTTGTAACTGTTGAGAACCTTGAATGGTGACGGTCAGCGTTAGTACATCGAATATGTAAAAGTAATGATTAGAACGACATTTCAAGCCCAGAAAAACAAGCTGGAAATAAACTTTTTTTTTCTGTTATAACTTCCCTTCAAAATCATCAATATCCCTAAAACAATTCCTGTCAACGTCTCAGATAAAATCATTACTTTCGCAATGCTAATAATAGTCTATAGAACAGAATAAAATCTCAAAGAAATATTAACATCATACAGCGTGAAAATTGTTCCTTGGTATAATGATGCTCTATAGACACAAAAGTGACAAAAGATTTTCTTAATGATCGAAACAAAATAATTTGTCTAACAGATTGTGTAAAACTATCTTGACGGAAGCTTTCGTCGTTTTTGAATTATACTGTTTGAAGATTATTGAAGTTAAAAATCATTGAATTACAGTTAGACTTTGTATGAAATAGACTGGAAGATTTTGACATTTCTAAACAAATTCTGAATTAATATTCAGAAGAAATTCCAAACCCTTATTCTAATTTAAGACTTTTTAATTTCAGTGGTCTCTTTTGGCTAACTGACAAATAAACGAACACTTTGATTCGAGATATAATCCCATCTGAACTTACTAATCCTCGAAACTTCTTCTGCAATATTAAATTGTTCTAATTTATCATATCCAGCATCTTTAATAGTTTTTTGTTTACTTCCTTTTAAAATATCAATAACTTGATTAATAGTTGTTGATCTCAATTTTTTTGTAAGTTGATCGACTAATGAAATAATATGTTTAGTTAATATTGTAAAATCAATTAATTTCGTTTGAGCAACACTACAACAATTATCACAACGTGTTGCAATATATTTTTTACATTGACTTGATAAATATTGTTCACCAAAATATTCAAGTAATAATGTTCGACGACAATCAACATTATTAAGACAATATGTATAAACACAATGAAGATTATCAATTCGAACTTTTTTTGCTTCATTTGTTGCATTTGCTGATTGATCAGCTGAAAAAAACAAAAAATAAAAATTTTTTATTTTAAAATAAAATAAATTTATATTCATACTCATTATTAAACGTTTTGTTTTAATTAAATCTTGATAACTATAAAAAAGATAACAATATGCTTGTTCACCATCACGTCCAGCTCGACCAGATTCTTGATAATAACCCTTAATTATAAGAAAAAATAAAATTTATAATCATAAAAAATTTTTCATTAAATCAACAAACTTCAATTGATTTTGGCATTGATAAATGAATAACAAAACGAACATTTGGTTTATCAATTCCCATTCCAAAAGCAATTGTTGCACAAATTACCTTTTGAATAAAAGGAAATTTTTTTTTTTTTTTTTTCTAAAAATTTTTTTTTCTATTACTTGATATTCATCATTAGCCCATCTTGTTTGTACATCAGTTCTATCTTGATCATCTAAACCTGCATGGTAAGCTTGTGCTGTAACACCACTTTTCGTTAAATAAGCAGCACTTTTTTCACATTCAGCACGTGAAAAACAATAAACAATTCCACACATTCCAACAAATTGTTCACTTAAACATAACTGAGCTGTACGTGCTAAAGCTCCATCAGTTTTTCCTTTAGGAAAACATCTATAAACAAGATTAGATCGATTAAATGATTGAATAAATAATTTTGATAAATGTCTATCAAGTTTCATTTGATGAAGCATATCACGTTGAACTCGTGGTGTTGCTGTTGCTGTTAATAATATAAATGGAACACGAGGATATCGATCACGTAATGTACCTTTAATTATATCAAACTAATTAAGACAACATAATATAAGTTTTATTTACCAATTTTAACATAATCAGGACGAAAATCATGACCTTAAACAATATTAAATAATGAGAAAAGTTTTGTTTTTGTTTTTGTTTATTTTAAATTTACCCCAATCAGAAATACAATGTGCTTCATCAATAACAAATCGAGCTAAATTATTTTTTGCATAAAGATGTGAAAATAATTTATTTAATTGATCACTTTGTCCTATTTTTTCTGGTGTTATATAAACAAGTTTAAGTTTAGGCTGTGGTGCATAACATTGAGCATAGATTGCAGATACTTCAGCTGATGTTCGATCACCAGTTAATGCAGCACATGGAATACCTAATGATAAAAGTTTTTGTGTTTGATCAAGAATTAATGAACGTAATGGAGAAACTACAAAAGTTATTCCTTGATCAAGAACAGCTGGTAATTGATAACACAATGATTTACCACCACCTATTCAGAAAAAAAAAATATCAAATTTCTTTTATATTTCATATTATTATAGATACAAATAATTGCAGATATAGGAGACAAATTGAGAATTGATAAAGAAATAATGTCAGTTATCGAATATTATTCGATTCGATATTATCATTATGAAGAAGTCCCTATAACACTAGGATAAGCCTTGAAAGATTCAAGATTATGATTTATTAGTAATGCGTTATAGCTATCGTGTTTATAGAAATGTATTTCAGAAAAGAATTCAAACAAAGAATCTTTATCTGAAAATTTACCTACAGATAGATTTCATCATTTTTGGGAAATTCGAAAAATTTCAAACAAAACGAATTTATCTTTCTTGAAATATTCGTTTTTCTAATGAGCTTAGCAATTATATCCAACTATGATAAATGTTTGTTGTCCTTAAAAGTAAATAATTCGAGAAGGACTAAATCATTTGCTCCAAAACTTGCGAAATCGCTTCATAAATATTAGATCTATGTAGAGGAAATATTTCAGATAAAATTTTTTGATTATTTCAAAAATATCTTGTTGACAGTAAGAAGTTCATGATACCGGTTATAACTTCTTATCAGTCGATCATAGATCTAAATTTTTCTAAGCTTTTCTTAGTTCCACACTTGTAGCTATAATATCAATTCGAATTTGAATTCGATTCGACGTTGAAGATATATTTAGGTCAATCAAAACGAATGCATTTGGAAATTGAATTGTTTTTCTAATGTGAAGCTCAACATCGGTCAACTTATTGTAATTGGATCCATAAACTGGACTCTGCACTCTTACAATAGGCACGAAGGTCTCTCGTAGGGAAAAAAAAGAATTTCAAGAGATTTGGTAAGTTACATGAAATTACCTGGTATTTTTAAATGGAATAGTTCTAATTTATGCATTGCAATAGTCACTAATTAAATCTTCTAGTTAGCTAATATTTTTATCTGTATACTCATTGTTGGACCACTTTGAAAGAACATTAATTTTGTTGATGATGTTGTTTTATTTTTCTATGAATATCAAGATCGAATAAAACCTTCAATAATATTCTCCATCCTTTTCAGATTGCCATAAGACAAAACTATTTGCTCTTATCTAATCAGAATAAAGAAATCCATAATATGACAAGTTAAAAATTTCGTTCAAAAAAAATAAGATTTCAAGTAAAGTATATCAGTAACTCTCAATCGTTCATCATCCATAACCTGTATAAGATAATTTATAAATATTTGTACAAAAATTTGAAGTACTAACCTGTTGGCATGAGAATGAATAGATGATAACGTCTTTCAAGTGCACAATTAATAGCTTCTTGTTGATTCGATCGAAATTTTCTTAAACCAAATAAAGCATGAAAACGTTCTAACATTGTTTTTGTATGACTAAAATCTTTATCACGATATTCTGGTCCATCATCATAAACATCAGCTGATATCCAGGTTACTTTATCACATTTTTCTTCGTCGTAATCAATTGATGGTATATGATCATAAGTATCAAAACCTGTATCATCAGCATTATTATTATTATTATTATTATCATCAAAATTTTCTATGGATTTTAATGGTGTTTTTGAAGAAGATACTTGATCAAGTGACCATTCATCAAAAAAAGCATCTTGAAAATGATTCAAATCATTTGATTGATTACAATTTTGAAATTTATCAGACGTCTAAAAGAAAATGAAACATTTTTATTGAATCGATATCTAGACTTTAATTTAACTTACTGAATCATAATTTAGAT